ATAGTAATAATATAGTAATAAGCGGCAGCTACTGTATCCTACAGTATGTGTTTTGAAACTCTTAAGTGTGGCAATGCTGAATATGATCACTAATATGCAGAGCTAGTAGTTTACCAAATTAAGACCTTCAACATTCACCTTAATGGAAGGAATGTATCCTGAAATGTTAAAAATAATCTCACTGAAAAGCTGAAAGCAGGAAGGCGCTAAAGGCATATCAACCCTCGTGCTGCTTTTAACAATCACCCTTTATGCTGAGCTAAAACACAGTTTCAACCCCAACGCATTTATTTCAAAATCTAATGGCTTGTCAGCTAAAAACTCTACCTTATTCCATTCCAGTGGAAAAACTGAATGATCAACACACAGGTCACTAGCTATGAACTCTTTTTGCTGTCTTGAAAATGTTTTACATAAAAGAACTTGAAGGCACTCCACAACAAGCTCTTTTTATAAAGACCCAAGAGTACCCTTGACCAATATTTGATATCCTTTTAAAAACTGAACTTTTGCAGTGGATGTAAAGACATGAGAAGAGGATTTCAGACTCGGAAAGCATTACTCCACCATCTAACTACTTTATTAGTCAATGGAGAAGCTTTTTTCAAAGGTATATGTGATGGTTTCGCACTAATATATTGCCACTGGACTACACAAAGTTCAAATGCTTTTTGTCCACAAACGTGAAAAGCAAAGAATTTGTCTTTTTATTGAAGCTGTTCACCAATAATCACAGAACAGATTTTCTTTTGCTCTGTCAAAAGAAACAAATGTTTCTGTTTCTTTTGTCACCAAGACAAAACTGCATTCCTTTATATTTTGAAAGATGGCCTCTAAGAATATAATAATTATGATTGTTTATTGCTTCAGGATACAGACCCAAAGATAAAAAATGGAATTCCAATTGCTTTGGAGACCCTTTTAATGACCTCATTGCAGTCTCCCAACCATGAGCTCTGCTGTACTTTAAACAGAGCCTTGGTTTTATTTTGGTTAGGATTTGTGTGAATTCACAACATGATTTTGCCTTGGAATAAAACTGCAAACTGTAACCTTCTTGGTCACGTAAATTATTCTCATTTAGAAGAAAATCATAACTCTAAATCATTACAAACAAATGTAAAATCATCTGTGAAGACTACAACTGATCATGAGATCATCATAAAATGTAGCCAGAGATTCACAGAGCACAGCAAACCCTTTTCTATCTTTTACTACAGGCTAAACAGATGTCAATGAATAAACTGCCAATGGTTGCCAAACAGCATGGAGCCTGAAGGACATTATGCCAGCTACCTGCTACCTTTGTACTGCTTCTGAAGCAGAATCCAAACTCACAAAATAAAAAGCAGGGGGCTGTGGTTATGTCATAGTTTAATTATTGAAATCAACCTTATTACAGGTCTGTTTTGACACCATTAATATGACATTTTCCAAAAGACGGCATAACTTATGTTTTCTTTTAAAACAATTGTTCTGCATTGCAGGGATTTGTTTGGGATTAATAGTTGATAAAAGCTTAATATTTGGTTCCAAGATTTAAAACAAAACATGACTTAAAATCCTTGAAACTCATCACAACACTTTTCACTGTTGAAAGGTTCGGCTAATTGAGTTCCTAACCTAAGTTCAGGAGGTAAAGTATGTCGACAGCCAAGTTACTTTCACCCCAACAGTACATTTCCTGGAAGCGGTGTATGCCATAAGCAAACCTCACATTCTGCATTTGTGGCTTGTGATCCTCCTCCACCTCCATCTCCATTCTTTGTGAATTGTGAGATGCAGTAGTAAATTAAAAATCGAACAGGGCAGCGCTGTGCAGTTTGTTACTGTCTGCGTACACATCTTACACAATGTAAAAGAAAAGATACGTTATCACAATCAAGGCAGCATTACATTAGAGGTTTCCCAAACATACCATTTCTTTTCAAAAAGGAAAAAGAGTAGCAGTTTGTCATTTTTTTTTAAATTGAGAATAGCTTTTTCATGAGGAAACACTGTTCAGACCTGACTGAAATTCAACTCTGCGTTTTTATTTTGGTTTTAATAAGGTGAAAGAAATGTTATAGCAGTAAAGGATCGTGACTTCACTGCTGTCACATGCTTTAAAGATTTTGGGAATTTTACAAGCACTTTTCTCCTCCATTCTCAGTTAAAGCTTTTACAATACAACTGACAATCGGTTTCAAACACTATGAAAAGCTCTGTCGTGTTTTTACTTTCGCATCTCCTGCTCAGCAAAAATCAATATGTTGTTGAATGTGGTCTTCCATGCAAAGGCCACTCAGACTTGTGAAAACTATAAGAAAACCTCGCAGGCAAAATGACCCATAGCAGCTCTTTGTCAGTTTTTGCGCAGCTTATTCCGAGCACACATTGCTACTAATGATGCATGCAGTAAAATTAACGCTGCATGTCCACTCTTACAGACACTAATCACTGGAGAGTCTTTGAAAAGGAAGTCAACATAAAGCTAACAAAATGTTTCAATCTCTTGGATTTCTTTACTCCCATCTGTTCTGTGCGCAGCATCATTAAATTAAGGGATCTTAACGACATTTCCAGTCACTTTAACATGATACAAGCACAGCGCATCTTTTGCTTTATTCACAACTCCTATAATGCAACCAAAATAATGTTTTTTTTTCATAGGTGTACCTTTTCCCACCCAGAATATGTGAATCTTTGTGAATCTTTGTGAACCTGTCAGCTTATCGGGTTGAGCATTCACTGAACAAGTAGCACTATCCAGTTTTCCTCACCTACCTGAGCTGTTGCAAGTTTGAGAAAAATTGCACTTTGCCTGAAAAGTATTTAAACACTGAAGAGCAAAAGTGAATAAAATCAATCCCCAGACATCAGAGAGTAGGCACCAGACTTGTCCATTAAATGTAAAGCACAAAAAGGTTTCTTTAGGGCCACAGGTGCAACATCCCAGCCTATCTGTTCATTAGTGAGCTCAGTTGCTGCTCGGAGACTAAAATTAGACTAAAACATCCTTAAATTAATCATCTTAGCAATTTGTTTTCAACAATATGAATGTTTATTTGTGAGGCCTAAGGTCTGTACTTTTTATCACAATTTAGCTAAACATAGAGAACTGTGTGATTCAATGGATCAGGATAAGAGACATCTACAAGAGTTATTTTTTAAGTACCAGTACTTAAAATGCACTCCTTTTCAAACACTAACAGGTTGTTAAAAATAAACTATCAAAATTCAGGGGTATAAATCTTCAGAGGCACAAAATGTCATGCTCAAGGCAGCTCTCCACTTATCACCCAGTCAGAGAACTCAGAAGTAAATCTGTGCAACAGAAGAAAGGCTCTGTATCGGGTTTGTCAGGTAATGCAGAGAGGTTAGAAATGGAGGAGAAAATGAAGGCAACACGGATATCTTTTAGGTTATTTACTGATAGTGCCGCTTACCTTTGTATTTTCAAAAATATCCCAAGGGCTACAATTAAAGAAAGTCATACGTCCACAAACCGTGAAATGTAAAATAATTTACATTTAAAATCACATTTGCAAGGCACGCGGCGGTATAATCATGCCCCTGTAAATAACTTGATCACGTGCTTGCATATGAACTCTCACTGCAGATTTGCAACACCTGAAACAAGCTGGTACTGTACTGTATCTTCCATCAGCGAATTTGTGTTCGCAATGTTAATTTACGCAACTGTAAGGTACCAACAGCGTGTTCCCATTTTAATCCGCAACATGCAACGAAATCTGATCATGAAGAGGAAAGGTTTATTTATTTATTTTTTTCTTCTCATTTCCCCAAGTTTTCTCATTTCTTTATGCAGATGGGTATTGGATTAACAGTATAACATTTAACCAGGATACAGTATGCTATAAAAATAAAGTTGTTTCAATTTACTGTATATTTTTAAAGCCGTATAGCATCCCAAGGGACTTAATTAGAACCTTAGTTGTTCGCTTTCCTTTGCCTCCTTGGTAATTTGTTTACTTTAAAGCAAAAGCCACAAAGCCTTCTGCCCTGCGTTTTGTGATCTAAGATAGAGAGACAGATCTACAGAATATAAAAAAGACCTACTTCATACTTCGCGAAAGTTAACGTCGAGAAAGATGTGCAGAGATTAAAACGTTCGTTCCATTACGCAGTTCACGATTTTAATCCTATTTTAAAAATGCGTATGTTGCACTTTGGAGTTCGAATGAGTTCGTCTGTTCCTACGATTTCCTTCAAGACTGAATGCACAATCGGGATGTTCCTAAAATAAATTTTCAGATGTTCGATACCAGACACATGCCAAAAGGTATACTGTAGCTCGCATACCGAACTAGGCGATGCCCAATAACTGTTTTTTTGCCAGGGTAATCTACTTCCACATTTTGCAGACAGGTAAGGTGTCTTTTCAGTTATTTCGATATTTTACGTCAGGTGAAGAGACGTTCGGTGTGCATGTTCAGGATGAAAGATACATTACCAGTAATAAATAAACATCACCCGTTTTAACAACAAAGCCTAACCTTCCCGAGAGCTTCCCGGAGGAAGCTAAAATATTTATTCCCAACACCTGCAAAGAGGTAGTGCCGACTCTTAAGATCATATCCTGTTTTATTACACACGAGCAAAATATTTAAAAATTCAACCGAAACATTTAACCAAAGAAAATAATAACAATCGGTGATTGTTACAACTTGTGCAACAAATAAAGATCCGAAATAACAAGGTAACAACTTAAAACTTTCACAGCTTGCAGTGATAATGTGCATTTATCACTGCGGACCAACTGGTAACAGAAACATTCCACTCAGATGAGTCCAACAGGACAATCACCTATTATGCATCTGCAAATCCTTCTAGCAAAGATGTTCACTGAATTTCACAGTTGTACGTTCCGCTCTCATGCTCATAACGGTGCATCCGTAACAATAAAGACTCCCTCTGCTCTTCACAAGCCCCAGCTACTGCGCGCTGTCGGATCGCTGGTTTCAAGGCAATCTGTAATAAAGCGCTTCTCTACCCACCTTTCCCTGCAAGGACGCTACAGAGCCCCAGCGTTACCAAAATAAACACCAAGGATGTTCTTAGATTCTTCATGATGAGACACAGGGCACGCTGACCTCTCAGGCGCCGCGCGTAGTCTTTCTTCAAATCAAAGACGAAAGCAATGCGAGAGAGAGAAAAAAAACAGACGCGCTTGTTCTAAAGATACCCAGCAGCTACACAGTAAGATCGCTCAGTGCTGTTCACTACTAGTCAATCTGAAAGGACAGGAGCACAGACTAGCGCACCCCGGGACTAGACCGTTACGTCACTGGGAGGAGATGCATTAATATTCATAAGAAGAGCCGCTTTTTTCAACATATTTAAACTGACATTGATGGGTTCACTTGAAAAAGGTTAATTTGTTACGAGCAGCTCACCCACTGGAGACGAATAGTGAGCTCTAACTGGGCTGTTTGTGTCCGTCCGCCTGCAGGGTGATTCTTATCTAGTTTACTTTGGAATTTCAGTTCTTCCCGAGTGGAAAAGTTACAGTAGTTCCCAATATTATGTTTAAAATTGCACCGAGCACTCGCTGAGCACTTGTGCGTCGGTGTCAGAAATAGGCTGAGGTGTCAGATTCACTGGGGCATCTCTGAGCCTTCCTGCAGCATGTACAGTATTTTTAAACTTCATTTGGCATTTCTGAATTGGTTCTCAGTGATGTCGGCTCGTTTTCAGTTTCTGGAGCTGTTTCCATAATCTGGAAATAAAACAGAGGGGCCCACTGGTATCACATACAGCCCTGTGAACTGCCGTTTACTCCGTAAAAATACACTTAGTTTTGCTCTACATTACCTTGATTTATCACAGTAATTACCAAAATATGATTGTAAACATTGTATAATAATGGGATCTGTGATTACCCCTATGAAATGTAATTGCCTTAGTGTATTGGTATTAACTCCATAAACTCTCGTACCTATGAGAGTACCATATCCTTGCATGAGATTTGTTTAAACGGGAATACGTTTTTTACTGATGAATCCCAAGAGACATTTTTTCACAAGTACACCAGATGTGGTCGAGATAATGTTTTTTTTAAATAGGTCGTGCATCTGTATAGAAGGAGGTTATAAATGTATATTAATATTAACAGCTGCGAGTGGAATTCGTTCATGTCTGGTTCAACCTTTTGGTCCCTCTGCATCAGTGGAACTGATCGATCAAAGGAAACATCCGCGATTACAGTTGATGTTTTTACTATAGATATAAAGGTACTGTACTATAGAGGTACAGTTGACTGTATCAGTGATTGTAGTAGATAAACGCGCTTTGTTTCATCAGCTCTTTCTAACTTTTGTTTTTAAGTGTTAAATAAGTAACGTGCTACAATTTCTAAAATGAGCCAACAATGACGGTCGTGGGTGATTGTTAACAGTGTGTAATTTTTGATCGGACTATACCTCAATTTAGAGTATATAGAGCATTTTTTATACTACATATGGTAACTACACTGTATGTCGATTAGGCACTGTAACATGGTATATACTCTATGATAAGCCGAAATGAAAAAAAAATCATGTTTCGCAAATTTGAAAAAAAACTTTAGTTTTACGAGAACAGACAGATGCAAAACTAGATTCTAGAAAATTAGCTCCTTTCGAACTTCTTAAAAGGGAAGTGTGCTGAATTATTGTGGTTTCAAGAATTGGGTAAGATATTCTTTAATAATAATAATAATAATTGCTTACACTTATATAGCGCTTTTCTGGACACTCCACTCAAAGCGCTTTACAGGTAATGGGGACTCCCCTCCACCACCACCAATGTGCAGCATCCACCTGGATGATGCGACGGCAGCCATAGTGCGCCAGAACGCTCACCACACATCAGCTATCAGTGGGGAGGAGAGCAGAGTAATGAAGCCAATTCATAGAGGGGGATTGTTAGGAGGCCATGATTGGTAAGGGCCAATTGGAAATTTGGCCAGGACACCGGGGTTACACCCCTACTCTTTTCGAGAAGCGCCCTGGGATTTTTAATGACCACAGAGAGTCAGGACCTCGGTTTTACGTCTCATCCGAAGGACGGCACCTGTTTACAGTATAGTGTCCCCATCACTATACTGGGGCATTAGGACCCACATGGACCACAGGGTGAGCACCCCCTGCTGGCCCCACTAACACCTCTTCCAGCAGCAACCTTAGTTTTTCCCAGGAGGTCTCCCATCCAGGTACTGACCAGGCTCACACCTGCTTAGCTTCAGTGGGTTGCCAGTTGTGAGTTGCAGGGTGATATGGCTCTTTATTCACTGGTTTGTCTGTACTGAATATTCAAAGTGACAAAAAGCGCTCTACTGTATTTACTATTCTGCTACTGATAAAACAATACGATTCATGTTTTTGTATTTTATTATTAATCTAAAGTGGTGATAAAAAACTCTTAAAATCGTGTTCCTTAGTAATTTAACAAAAAGTGAAGGCGAGAAATGAGTTATATTATATTAATGAAAAGACATTACAATAAAATAAAGAGACAGCACTTACTGTCCAAAAGAACAAAACAGCTGCAGAACATGTCTGTCACATCTATGCGGTAGAACTGTATGTACTGTAGATGATTCCAGTCTTTTATTCTTACATCTTTCATTTCTTCTTGAGGGCAGTCAATGAATGAGGTATTTAGCAATCAAACTAAAACCTTATTCTCACACAGCACTTCAGTCATTATATTTCATTAACACTGGTTTTTATCTTATATCCTCCCACATCTTTTTAATGTCTTTCAGTTGTTATGACTTATTCATAAAAAAAACTTTGGATTATCATATCTTTTCCTTGTCTAAGAATTTAGTGATGCAAGTCCTTGTCTTATCTGCTTATAAGGGAAAGGGAAGTGAAAGTTGGAGAATCCCACCTTTGTTCACCCAGATATCACAATAAGCCACCCCAATCTAGACAAAGTAATGTGTGTGAAAGAATAAAAACTTCTCTCTCACTTTTAGAATCACCCTTATCTGCTCATGTTGTATTATTGCAGTGTCCTAGGATATTTGGCCCTCCAAAAAAACTTTTTCCATTATTGTTTTCTTCACTTTGTATAGTTTCTAACTCACACTGTTAAGCATCTATGAAAAAAAAAGAATTGCTTAGCAGGAATATTGTACCAACTGATGTGTCTAATTAACTGACTTTTAATAGGTGAAACACTCCATCAGTTCAGAAAGAGAGTGAAAAGGGCTGAAGAATTGTCTAGGATGGGGGATTTAATTTACTGCTTTACATGTGTAATGTTATTACATTCGCTGTGCTTTCTTACTGTATATGCTAAATTGCAATTCTGTGTACAACATTCCATTTCAGACAACCTGACTGTGTTTTGCATGGGAAGGAGTGCAGGTTGTAGAATATTGTGACACCAATACCATATTCATGCAATTTTGTCACTGGTCCGCAGTGCAGTGTTAGTGTGTTTGACAGCTCGGAAGGTCAAATAGCATAAAACACATGACAAAATGAAAGGACTCCAATAGAATTATGGGATAGTAGAAGATAAGAGGTCTGCAAGGTCTGACCGCTGGCTCAGTAAGTGGACAAAATCATCTGACTGCACTTCATTGCACTTGGCTTCCTGCATATTTAGATCTCACGAAGCTGCTTCTAAGACAGGAAAGAGAGCAATGATTCTAGGATTGATAAAACAAGGATATCTCCAGAATAGAACTGAGAAGAGAGACCTGAAGTGTTGTTGATCTGCAGACAGACACATCGAACAGCCTGTAAAGGGCTCATGTGTAAAGACAAGAGGATTGAGTTTCTCCATCCCCTGATAACATGTGCTTTCTGAGCTTCATGGTGTCCGCAGACAAGGAATGTGTTGTTCAACTGAGATATGTCCATGGGCATACTTGTCATCAGCAGCTAAATAAAAGGTTGTAAAGTTATCCCCTAGCAGTCTGTGTAATGTAATGTAAACTGAACTAGCTACTTATTCTGACTCTCCAACAAAAAAGGAGTGCAATTTGTATAGGCTTTTAAGAAATCTGGTGTGTTTTCCTAAGTATGGAAAACCTGGATGTTTTCTGCAAGGAGAACTACTTCAGATTTAGAAAAATTTGTAACTTTAACCCAGCTGACTCAGTTACAATTTGATGAAGATTTGGAGGGATCAACTGAAGCTTAGTGAACTAGTTCAAGCAGGATATTCCTGTCCCAATTTAGTTAATTGAATCAGGTCTGCTCAGAGCAAGTGTAGGAGGTAATTCGTCTTCAGTGACACAGAGGAGTTTTTATAAAATATAGGTTACAATGAGTGTGGTAGGTGATTGTAAGCCTTTATTTTATGAGTAAGGGTTTAGTTTCCTTAGGGTCTGTAACACAAAAAAGTCAAACGAAGTGTTTTGTGCTCTGTTTACAAGGGACCTGAAGATATAAACATTTGTGGTCAAACTTTTCAAGGTTAAGTATTAAGCTTACTTTTTTGACCGTCAAAAATGTATTTTGCTAAAATCCTATCTGCAAAATTAATAAATATGGAAACATTAGAGATCAATCCTCTATACTGTCTTTTAAAGCTTCTATGTAAGATAAAACATAACACTGAAAAATGACCTCTAAGAGCATGGTATTAGAAAGGAGGCTATATTCGATATCATTAACAAGGACACTACTGCTAGGCAATAGTCATTAAAAAAAATATGCAGCCTGAGGTTAGTGGGAGATATATTTCCGATCATCTTTTAAAATAATTAAAATCAGAATATCTCAAAGCACAGCCAAATTGACATATAGCCTTGCACAGTGTTTATTCTCTGGTGTTTTCTGGTGGTATTGCCCATAATATTTTTACAGCAGCTGGAAAAGACCACAAAATGCCTCAAGTGAAACCACTTATATTCATGTTTGAGATTGAAACTGACAAAAAAAAAACATTTCATTCTGCATATATGAATCTATTTGATTTTTAGCCAGAGACGTAAGAATTTGTAAATTTCCAAGGATTCACACAGAGCCATTTACTGTGTGGGGAAGGATGGAGGATAACCTCTAAATATTTCATATTTTCCTTGGCTACTTCCACATGTTAAGAATAGTAAATGAGGTTGTTCCTGTGGATATGAAGGGATAACGCTAACATTAGTATATAATGGTTTTTTTCAGAAATTGTTCATTTATAAACCATTATAAATAAATTAGACCTTTGGTATAAATAGAACTGGTGATCCTTAACAATAATGGCCCTGTAAGCCAACCAAAGGACTTGATTTATTCCTCTCATTTAACTAGAAAG